ATTACCAGCACTTTCCTTGAAATTTTCAAATTTTTCATTGTGCTTTTTTTCCTTTGAATCTTCTGGCTCCTTCTCTTCATCATCCCTAAAACCAAAACCAGCTCTTGGGTTTCCTGGCTTTCCACCATGCTGTACAAACCCATAAGCCATAGTCCCCTGCGGCCCTACGACTGCACCTGGGATGCCCATCTGCGCAGCGCTGATCATATCCGTAATGCTGGGCATGCCGTTGCCACCGGGGTGGCTGTGGGCATGTAGGCTTGCGTTTGGATTATATGCTGCGTGTATGCCATCTGCTGTGCCTGGTTGCCAGTACTCGGCTTGGTAGCCATAGTGGTCTAGGTAAAACCCATGCTCATTGCCCGTTTGTGCGGTTTGTTGCTGGATTTGGTTGGCGGCGGCGTCAAATCCTTGGTAGTTGTCTAGGTTGAGGCTGGCGCTGTGGTTGTATTCTTGGTTGAGCGCTATGGCGCCTAGGTAGCTGTTTTGTTGGCCTCCTACGTTGGTGTTGAAGTTCATGTACAGATTGGAGCCCGATACGCCTCTGAGGGCGGCTAGGTGGGCGGTGGCTTCGGCGCTTTGGCTGACTTGGGCGGCTACGCCTCCGCCTCCCATGCCGTCTTGGCCTGGGTCTTTGGCGGCTTGGAAGACGAGGGTGCCTGGCAGGTAGGCGGCAAAGAGGTTGGCTAGCTGGACGCTAGATCCTGTAGAGGGTTTGGTGAGGTAGTTGATGCCGTCTGCGCTGGGGGTGTTGGTGTAGTTGGCGAGTTTGGCGTCTCTGAGAATGTCTTGGTAGAGTTGGTGGTTGGTGGTGCCTGGGGCGTAGGGGTTGACGTCCCAGTAGAGGATGTTGGCGGCGTTGGAGCCGCCTGGCAGTTGCATGGCTTGTTCTATGGTGCCTTGGGGTTTTTGCTCAAAGCCGGGGGTGATGCTGTTGGAAACTGCGGTGGCGCTGATGCTAAAGAAGGCGCTGTTTTGCGCGTCATGTAGGGCTTGGTGGGGGTTGGGTTGGCATATGGTGCCGGTGTTGCAGGGGTGTAGGGGGCCTAGGGGGCTGTAGCCCAAGGGGTTGTATTGCGCTTGGGCGTTTAGCGTGGCGCCTAGGCCGGCTGCTAGGATGGTGATGGCTAGGCTGCGTTTCATGGCTGGTTTCATGGCGTACTCCTTTGGTGGGGTTTAAGCGTTGTTTGGGGTGGTTTTTTAGTTTTTGCCCATAGGCCAGTTGCGCTCTTGCTCTGTGCCTTCTGGTGGGTTGTAGGTGGCTTTGCTGCCGTCTACGTCGCTAAAGTCTACGAGTAGGCCTTCGCCTTTGCTGACCGTTTCTTTGGTGGTGAGTGGGCCTGCCCAAAAGAGGTAGTGTTCGGCGTATTGGGCGCTTCGGTTGGCGCTGGTTGGGCGCATGATGAGTTTGCCGCTGCGGTCAAAGGCCATCATCTCAAAGGCGACTTCGGCTTTGACGCTTTCTTTGTTGTACGCTAGGGCGTCAAAGCGGCTGCGGATTAAGCCAAAGATGTCTACGGTGACGTAGAGCAGCGCTTGGGCGCTCTCATCAGTGGGGGTGGTGGGGATGACGCCGTTTAAGAGGAGGTAGTTTCTGACTAGGCCCATGAGCAGGCTGGCGTCGCTTTTGGGTACGGCAAAGTTTTGGTATTCGCCTAGGCCGCGGTATTGCAGGCTGGCGCCGTTTTCTCGTCGGGTGCCTTGGTTGGTGGTGACGCTGGAGCTGGGGCTGGGGCTGATGGCTTGGCGGTTGCCTTTGAAGCCGCCTTGGCTGGCGCTGTAGCCGTCGTTGCTGCTGTTTTGCGTGGTTTGGGTGGTGCTGGTGTTTTGGTTGTTGGTGTTGCTGGTATTTTGGTTGGTGGTGTTGCTGGTGCTGGTGCTGCTGCCGCTGCTGGTGGTCTCGTTGGTGCTTGAGCCGCTGCTGCTTTGGTCGAAGCTGCCGTCGGTGGTGGTACCGCCTGTGGTGCTGGTGTTGGTTCCGCTGCTGGTGCCGGTGTTGGTGCCTGTGCTGCTGCTGGTGCTCTCATTGTTGCCAGTGCTGCTGGTGTTGCTGCTGCCGCTACTGGTGGTGTCGCTGCTGCCGCTACTGGTGTTGACGCTGGTGGTGCTGGAGCTTGCGCTGCCGCCGGAGCTGGTGTTGTTGTAGTTGCTGCCGCTCTCGGCGAGGTTAAATATTTGGAAGGCGTTGCTGGTGGTGGATACAGGGGAGAGGACGCTGGCGGCTGAGAGGACGGCGCCTAGGTTCATGCGTCCGCCGCTGATGCTGCCCCCGCCTTCGTCGCTGATGAGGTCAAAGACGATGGCTGTGCGTTGGCCTTTGAGGGCGCTGACGTCTATGTCTTTGAGGCTGGCGCGGATGCTGGCTGAGACTAGGCGTTGTTCGGTGGCAAAGCGTTTGCCCCCGCCGTGAGCAGGGATGCCGGTTAGGGTGCCGCAGGCGCCTAGGGTTAGCGCTAGGGGGGCGAGGAGGGACGCTAGGAGGAGCTTATGATTTTTAGCACGGCGGCTTAGGTGGTTATTGTGCTGTGCTGTGCTGTGCTGTGCTGTGCTGTGCTGTGCTGTGCTGTGCTGTGCTGTGCTGTCGTCATTTTGGGTTTTAGGGTTGATTATGGGGTTTTAGGGTGTTTTGGGGGATTTTAAG